GTCACTTGTGATTACTGTGAGGCTGAACACTGTGACACTGATGTGTCAAATGCATTAATGGTTGGTTGCCCAATGTGGACAGAGAGTGGGGTGGAGCTCCCTGATTAAAACAAGCTTGGAAGGACGAGTGGCATCCACTTCCATAACAGCTTGCCTCCGGAAACCCTATGAACCTGGGGAGAGGATGAAAGGCACCCAAGCGTCGAGGACTCTCCTTCATAGGGTCGCTATGAGTTGCCTGTGACTCAGCGGCACTTAACAACAACAGTATCCAATTAGTCCGTTTAATAAATAATTAATAAACAACAACAACAACATAATTAATCCCCCTCTCTGCCCATCCTCACCCCTCTGCTCTACCGCTCCTTCCCATTGGATTCTCATACTTATTCTACAATAATAGTTTTATACACTATTTGTCCTTATAAGACTGAGTTAGTTCACTTAGCATAATGCTCTCCAGTCCCTCCCATGTTAGGTAATAATTTTCAAAATCATTGCTCCTGTATACTGTATAGTATTCCATCATGTGAATGTACTATAATTTCTCAATCCATTCGATTGTGGTTGGCCATTTGGGCTGTTTCCATGTTCTTGAGATGGTGAATAATACTGCTGTGAACATCGGTGTACAAGTTTCTGTGCCTCAGTCTTCATTCTCTCAGAGAATATTCCAAGCAGTGGAATAGCTGGGTCATATGGAATTCCTATGTTCAGCTTTTTGAGGAAGTGTCATATAGAGTGGCTGTAACATTTTACAATCCCTTACAAAGTGTAAGAGTTCTTTTCTCGCCACATCCTCTCCAACATTTATTACTTGCTGTCCTGTTAAACTTTGCCACTGTTACTAGAGTGAAATGGTATCTCATTGTGGTTTTGATTTGCATCTGTCTTATTGCCAGTGATTTTGAGCATTTCTTCATGGGTCTGTTGGCTATCTGAATGTCTTCCTTTGTCCAGAAATGCACAATCTGGAGAGGGTAAAATTGATGAATTTTAAAGATTAAGTCTAATTCTAAAGACTAAGTCTAATTCCGAAGATTATTTCCCTGTGAGCATCAAAAAACATTTTCCAAAAAGGAATGAATGGAAATCCAAAGTCTCTGTAAACATTCATTAAAATTAATAAAATAAAAGAAAAAAAAGAAAGCAAAAGATCATTACAAAGGTTGAAGAGGAAGAAAAGACCAAGATGGATGTCAGACTATGGTATTTTATGGTATTATAAGTAAATTTATTTATTTTGGTATTAAAAAAAACCCCACAAAAAAAGGTTTTCCAACAGAGTGAAAAGAAAACCTACTGACTGGGGAAAAAACCAAACAATTGGTAACAGCATTTCAGACAAGGGTCTCATATCAAAAGTTTACAGAATCCTACAGGGCCTTGATAAGAAAAGGACTGATAACACAATTATAAAATGGGCAAAAGACATGTAAGTGAGATATTCGCCAGAAAAGGACTTGCTGTTTGGTAAAATTGTGTTGACAGGGGAGTTCTGGTGGCCTAGTGGCAAGAAGCTGCACTGCAATCCCAGAGGCGCACGGTTCAAATCCACCAGATGCTCTGCCGTGGAC